TTCATAACTTTCAAATTTGAGTGTTTTGCAGGCAATTAAGCAGAAGAAATTGTTCATTCTGGATTACCATGATGTTTTATTACCATACGTGAAGAAAATAAGAGATCTTGGAGGAAGAACACTGTATGGATCCCGAACGATATTTTTCTTAAACCCAGATGAGACTTTGAGGCCGCTGGCAATCGAGCTGACTCGGCCGCCAATGGACGGAAAGCCGCAATGGAAGGAAGTCTACACCCCCACTTGGCATTCCACTGGCGTTTGGCTCTGGAGGCTCGCCAAAGCTCATGTCATCTCCCATGAAGCCGTCCATCAGCAGCTCGTCAGTCACTGGTATATATGATCTGTCAAGTTCTCATGCTACGGAGGTTTATTTTTCTGGAGGGTCATGGAGCTTTCATTTTTTCCGCAGGTTAAGAACTCACTGTGCCACGGAACCTTACATAATTGCAACCAATCGGCAACTCAGTGCAATGCATCCAATTTACCGATTGCTGCATCCCCATTTCCGGTTCACAATGGAGGCTAACGCCTCGGCTCGAGGAGCTGGAGCTGTAGTCGGTGCCGATGGGGTCATGGAGAACTCCTATGCCCCGGGAAAGTATTACATGGAGCTTGGCGCAGCTTTCTACGACCAGCAATGGCGATTTGACTGTGAAGGACTTCCGGCTGACTTGATAAGGAGGTAAGAAATTTGTTCAATGTTCAATCAACATCTTTGATGTGTGAGAGTTGCTCTGTTTTTACTCTGTTTAATTTTCTTGAGAATTCAGGGGATTGGCTGTTGAAGATCCCTCTGCTCCTCATGGCCTGAGACTTGCAATCAAAGACTACCCTTATGCCAACGACGGTCTCCTCCTCTGGGACGCCCTCAAACAATGGATTTCCGACTACGTTAATCATTATTATCCGAGTTCGAGGGCTGTTGAGTCTGATCAAGAGCTTCAGGCATGGTGGACAGAAATCCGAACAGTTGGCCATGGTGACAAGAAAGACGAGCCATGGTGGCCTGTCCTGAAAACCCCACAAGATTTGATTTTCATCATCTCAACTATAGCTTGGGTAGCCTCCGGTCACCATGCCGCCGTTAACTATGGACTTTATGATCTAGGCGGGTATTTCCCTGGTTGGCCTACGACTGCCAGGACCACAATGCCAACCGAGGAGCCATCTGAAGAAATATGGAAACTCTTCCTGGAAAACCCAGAACAGGCGCTTCTTCAATGCTTCCCTTCTCAAATTCAAGCCATTATAGCAATGGCTGCATGGGACATATTGTCATATCATTCTGCAGATGAGGAGTACCTGGGAGAAAAGATGGAGCCAGCATGGGGTGAAGATCTAGCCATAAAGGCAGCATTCGAGAAATTTAATGCAAAGTTAAAGGAAAATGAAGTGATTATAGATGGAAGGAATGCAGATGGGAACTTGAGGAACAGAAATGGAGCTGGTACTGTACCGTATGAGCTTTTGAAGCCATTTTCTGAGCCTGGAGTTACAGGGAAGGGAGTCCCATATAGTATTGCAGTTTGAGGTCAATTGATCAACTTTGTAACTTTGAAGCAAATAATTCATAAATGCATCAATTACAGAATTCCAACGAATGATTTATTGATCATCATAAAACAAATAACTCCGGAAATTCTACCTTAAGAAACCTAGAAAAAATCATATAACTCGAGAAATTCTACCTTAGAAAAAATCTAGAAAAAACATATATTGCTAACTCACAAGGTAGCCAACAAAGTTGATGAGTCGTCAATTTTTTGTTGGCTTGAGAAACATGTCCCTGTGACACAATAGATACTTTTTGTTGTTTCAGAAAATTCTTAAACCAGTGAGCAGAAAGCTTGGGATATCTTTTCAATCCATTTCTATAATCTACATAGTATATGCCGAATCGCGCTGTATAGCCATTAGCCCATTCAAAATTGTCCAGTAATGACCACGCAAAGTATCCCTTCACTTTCACACCACCCCTAAATCAAAATACATAGAACAAAAGTTAATGTCGTTACCAACTTAGGAATTGGGACTGATATTCATTGTTCTTAATATGTTATCTAGGTATAATGCAACAATGATACTAGAAGAACTCACCGGATGGCAGCTTGAAGGAAAGAAAGGTGTTGAAAGTGGTAGTTAATCCTGTGATCGTCAATGAGGGCTTTCTCTAGCGGTAAAGATGGATCATCCATCTCGTCCACCCCTATAACACTCAAAGGGTAATATATGTGAGACTCAAAGATGAAATGTTATAGTTTGAGAAAGAGCACCGGCCTAAAATGACCGTCCAAGCATGAAAAGACTCTTTCTGTCATAGTTTTTGACTGGCTGGTTGAACTTTGCTTACCATTCTCGGTTATATAAATTAGAGGATTATCATACTTGTTCTTGATGTACATTAAAAGATTGTAAAATCCTTCTGGGTACACATGGAGCCAACTGGAAGCAGTCTGCAATGTTTCAAGAAAATGAAGGAAATTCAATTATATGCTGAATGAAGCCTGAAATGAAGTAATAGTGCTTGAGATTGTGCTCACCCCTGGACCAATTGGGACCCCATCACGCTCGGCTGCCAAAATTAAAAGGTTTAAGCTCTCACTTAGACTATCAGAAGTGATATTGGTATCAGAGTAGTAATGATATTGGTGGAAACAATTAACTTACTAGAAAGATTGGCTCGAGAATCTGTAGAGTAGCTAGGCCTGGAAGCATTAACCTTAGGTGAATCAGCAGCATAGTTTGCAGTATAGTAGTTTAATCCAAGGAAATCAAATGATCCTTTCAGCCTTTCTGACTGTTCTTTGGTGAATTTAGGTAAACGGTCTCCAACAAGGGATTGCATGCAGTCTGGATAATGACCTTTTGTTATCGGGTCCATAAACCTAATATAAAGAAGACCAGAATCAATAAAAAGAGTTCTTGCAAACCTAAGACAGAAAAAAGAACGAGAAAATATTATGTGAGACTCACCATCCAAACATAAAATCAAGAGCTCGTTGAGCGGCCTCTTGGTCATGCTTTGAATTCGAAAGTGGCACAAACCAATGTGAAGTCAGTGTGATCCCGATTATGCCCTTTTGAGTTTCCTGCACAATTTCAATGTTTGGTTAAAAAAATCGTGATATTTTAGTTAATTCTCTGAATGTGGTAAGTAACAAGATAGACATGTGTATATAACCTGGTATTTTTGCCTGTACAAATTTACAGCTTCTGCATGAGCAAGAAGCTGGTGGTGTGAAACCAGGTATGGTTCTGTTCCTGAATCTCCACCAGTGCAGTTAAGTTGCTGCCATTCAGAACAACGTCCCGGAGCCAAACTTCCATTTGTGTAGCCCAAATTGCTGAAGCTCCATGGCTCATTCAGGGTGATCCAATGCTTTACCCTGTCACCAAATTCCTTGAAGCACACCTCTGAATAAGCCACAAAATCATCCCTAAATCAAAGTTAAGAAAAAAAAAGGTTTGTTCAGTCCATGAGCAGCTAAGGCTGGTGTGGTTAGTTAATTTTGACTTACACAATCTTATGACTTAAGAAACCACCATATTCATCTTCTAAGGCTTGGGGAAGATCCCAATGGAATAGGGTCACATAAGGCTCTATACCTGATTTAGAGCCAAAAGAAAAAGTTACGTTAGCATTTAGCAATGGAAACATTGGGGGAAAAAAGAGGGTTAATCATCTTTGATTACCATTGGAGAGGAGCTCATTGATGAGGTTGTTGTAGTATTTAATTCCTTCTTCGTTCACACCACCACTTACCTTTCCATCTGAAGAATATGTTAGATATCACAAAACAGTCACAGTGAAAAAATTCAAGGTCAAATTTTCCGCAAAGAAAAAGGAAAAAAAGAATTGGATTATGTTACTTGGCAAAATTCTAGACCATGAGATTGAGAATCTGTAGGCATCTAGGCCCATTTCCTTCATAATTTCAACATCTTCCTATACCAAATGAAAAAAAGATGTATGCAGTTGAATCAGAATGCATCCAATATATAGTGAGTCTAGGAAAATCAAAGTAATAAAAAGCCTCAGAACATGTACCTTGTAGCGGTGATATGAATCATCTGCTACATCTCCATTACTGCCATCCATAATCCTCTCTGCCATTTATCACCAAATAAAAGTTAGAACCAAAAATTTTCCCATGTTAACATGATCACGGTCTTGTTTCGAGGTTCAAACCTAAGATCTCCTATATTGATTATCCAAGGAACAATATAGAGTATAACTAACCTGGATGGTTATGAGTGTAAGTGTCCCATATACTGGGCGCTTTGCCTCCTTCACTAGCTGCACCTTCATACTAACAAAACAAACAAATTCTAATTACTTTTATTATTATTCTAGAAGAAAATAATTGATACACCTCAGGTTCAACAAATCTTTCAACACTGGCCCGGTTCAGTGGATGCAACAAATTCTTAGTACTTTTAATATTATTTTTAGTGTAATCTGTTGAACTGGATGATGAATCAATCATTTTTCTATTCTAAAAAGCTTGTAGAATGGTTAAAGATTAAAATAGTTACCTGATAAGCTGAGGATGCCGTTCCAAATATGAAATCATCACCAAAACCAGTGCGGGTGAGTACTGGAGTAGGGGAATCAGCCGCAGCTCTAATTTGGGCTGCTGAACTAAGAACTACTACTAGAATGATGAGATGTAAAGGGGATTTCTTGCTTATAAAACAAATCATTTTTGGTTGTTAAGGTTGAGAATCAGTGATAGTATGTTGCTATATATAAGGGGTTATTGTTGGATATACTCCTACCTATACTTGTTTTGCAAGTATTTCTGAAGTAGTTCAATCTAAGTAGGAGTATGTGTTTTGAATAAGATAAATCATGAGTTTTTCCTTTTTTCTTTTTTTTTTTTTTTTTTTTACTGAATTAGTAATTTGGTATAATAAATGCACATAGATAACGTTCCACTTTGGATAATATAGTAATTAGGTTCTAAAAAAATCGCTGTATCCAATTTGTTGGTAGAACGAAGATTATCGGAAAACAAACTTGGATAAATTGGATATGATAAACTCTATCCAATTAAATACTACTAACAAGATCAAGTGCTAAAAGAAAAATGATTGTGAAATGGCTCTCTATTGTATACATATAAAATTACTTACCATTT